TTCATTTCACCTTCCATGGCCTCAAGCCACTTTAATGAATGATCACTTCTCATGGCTTATTCAAATGAGGTGGGATCATCCTCCATTTGAAATTCTTCAGTGTTGTTTACTTCATAATCAGCAGGAATAGTTAATTTTCTAACTCTTTGAGACCTTCTAGGGGACTCCACATTTGGCACATCTTCTGTTTGAGGCTGTTGTTGCTCCCCCTCATGTGTGGCAATAGGTTCTACAAGATCCTGAAGAACAGGTTTCTCATCGTCATTCATTGTTGCCACAGACGAAATAACAACAGGTGCTGCCACGACAGTATCTTGCACTGTCGGTGCAGCGACAGTATCTTGCACTGTCGGAGTGAGAAAAATGGCTCATGAATCATTGGAGTGGGCGTATACACCGGCTTCTCTTCAAGGTCAATTTCTCGAGCTACCATGCTCCCCCTCATCATTTTATCCTCTAGGAAGACAGCATGTCTAATTTCCACAAACTTTTTATGTCTGTCTAGACAGTAGAAACGAAAACTTTTTGATTTTTCTGGGTAACCAATGAAATGGCAACTTACTGTTTTGGGATCTAGCTTCCCAATGTTTGGGTTAAATACTTTAGCCTCAGCAGAACTCCCCCACACACGTAAGTGGTTTAGTGAGGGTATTCTTCCTGTCCACAACTCATACGGTGTTTTGGGCACCGACTTACTTGGTACTCTATTGAGAATTTGAATGGCGGTTTTTAACGCCTCCATCCACAGGCTCAACGATACGGTGGAGTAACTTATCATACTACGCACCATATCCATCAGGGGTACGATTGTGTCTTTCAGCTACTCTATTCTACTGAGGTTCGCCCGGTGTAGAATACTAGGCTACTATGCCATTCTCCTATAAGAATCTTGGAAAAGGTCCAGGAACTTGGCCATATGGGGTATGCTGATCATAGTACTCCCTCCTACGGTCGGACCTGACTATCTTAATCTTTAAATTGTGTTAGTTTTCAACTTCTGCCTTAGATATCTTAAATTTATCCAATGTTTCTGTTCTTTCTTTGATTGGATAAATGTAGCTATAATAGGAGTAATCATCTGTGAATGTTATAAACAAATCATAACCATTCACACTCTTTACAGGAAACGGACCACATATGTTTGTGTGAATAATCTATAAAATTCCTGCGCTTCGTTTGGCATCTTTCTTAATTTTCTTTACATATTTTCCTTTTATGCATTCTTTGCATTGTTCTAAATCTGAGAACTCTAATGTAGGAAGAATATCATTCTTAACTAGTCCTTCTATTCCTCCCCTCGAAATATGACATAAACGACAGTGCCATAATTTCGACGACGCATCGTGAGCTCTCTTTAGTTTTCTGTTTACATGCACAGACGAGGATACATTCTCATTGTCGCACGCAACGTTCCCATCATTGCATACAACATTCACATCGTCACGTAGTGATAACAAATAAAGCTTATTTTGTAAGATAGCAAGACCAACACATGCATTATTAAATGTTATCTTACATTTGCCATTACCAAAATGACAATCATATCCATCATTGTCCAAACATGAAACACTAATCAAGTTTCTCTGTAAGAGGGAACATAAAGTACATCTCTAAGTAAAAGTGTGAAGCCATCAGCAAGCTCTAGAGAAAGATCACCAACGGCTTCAACATCTGCTCGGACTCCATTTGCAACTTTAACATATCTTTCTCATCTTTGCGTGGTCCTCGTCGAACAGAATCCCTGTAAGGAATTAACAACATGAACAGTTGCACCTGAGTCAATCCACCAAGTAGATTTCGAATACTGTACATACAGGGATTCATTTATGAACGTAATAATGTTCTCACCTTTCTTTGCCATGATCATCTTTAAGTAATCGGGACAATCTTTCTTATAATGTCCCGTCTTCTTACAATAGAGACACTGGTCTTTCTCTACTATAAACTTGTTCTGCTAAGACTGATGCAGCATGGGACCCTTTCCCTTTGACTTTGAGGAGTTAGCATTATTATTCTTTTTCTTATTGTCTTTCACATAATTGATAGTGCCACCATTGACAGCTTTTATTCTCTCCTCCTCTTACACACACATAGCTATGAGCCTCTCCAAGTCCCACTTTTCGGGCTATATGTTGTAGTTGAGAACAAAAGTGTCAAATTCCTTTGGTAAGGATGCAAAAATCAGATGGATAAGAAACTCTTTCTTGAGAGCCAGATCCATTGGTGTTAGCTTGGATGCCAAATTGCTCATCTTTAGTATGTGCTCTCTTATGCCACCATTTTCAGAGTACCTCTAGGTCACCAGCTGCTTTATCAGCTAGGTAGCATGTCTTTGAAGAGCCAGTGAACTGACTCTTTATTCTATCGAGGTACTTGGTGACCGTGTCACACTCTAGGATTGAGCCCACAATTGCAGGCTCAATCGTGTTCTTTATCACAGCTAAATATTTTTTATTGGCAGTGACCTACTTTCTATGCTCAAGGTCATAGGACATCTTTTGGGATGCAAAATTCCTCTCTCTAGTTGTCCAAGCGGCATCAGCCTTGTTTGTCTCCCTCACCGGTGCCACAGACTCAGTGGCACACAGTGAGGTGACTACCTAGTTCACCTCAGCTAAGATGAAGGCCATGTCAATCTTTTTCTTCCACTCCGTTAGTTGTCATTTTTGAAAGTGGGGATCTCTTTGATACAACCCATCAAGTTGTATCCGCCTAAAAACACAATTCATATAGAGTGAGAACATAAATAATAACAACAATTGCATGCCTTGATTCCAACGTTGATCAAAATTAAAACATACAACTGTTTATACATTAAATGTACATCATCGTTGGGCAGAAATAAAAATAATACATAAAATCATTAAAATTACGATATTATTATTAACAACGTTGGCCAGAAAATAACAATATCATAATCATGTCAAAATCTCTTTTTCTCCTATTAAATATCACGTTGGTTCAAAATAACTAGAGAATAAACTATTTCTTTAGTAGCAGAAAACGTAAAAAATTATCTATTTTTCAGAAGCATTTCTCTATAATTTCTCTATTCTCTGAAAATTTATCCTGATGGTTCAAAATTTAACAGAGAATTAAAAACAAAATTCATTAAAATTGTTTCTGAAAATAATAAAACAAATCCATAAACATTACTTTTCATTCGGCCCATATCATATTTTGGCCCGACTTACAGCAACGTAGGTCAGCGAAAAGCTAACCTAGGCCTGGGCCATGAAAGCGCCAAGAGGCCACTTCATCCCGCCAACCCAGCTAAGGCCCGAGCGCCCCTGGCCGTCGATCGTGATCGAACGGCAGCGATTGCTTCCCTGCTGAACAAAACCGGCCGGTAGGGGAAACCCTAAAACATTTTTCATTCTCTCCCCCGCTTTTCTCAACCGAGCCAGCCACCGGCGACGGCACAGTGACGACGGAGAGCGCGCGATAGGAGATGGCGGCACCATCGCGGGTCCCTTCGCCGAAACTTGCATGCGTCCGTCACGCGGTTCTGTCGAATGGTCCCACGGCGGTGCCCATAGGGCGGAGCCCGCGTGCGCACGAGCTAAGATGGAGCGGTGGCGCGGCTCCCATTCTCTTTCGGCGGTGAACTGCAGGACCACTAGGGCCAAGGCGAGATCGTCGTCGACATGTAGGTATTCTTATGCTTTGGGTTGGGGATTGCTCGGGATTTTGGTGCTAGGGTTTGGATTTGATCCGATTTGAATGATCTCCTTCAATCTGTTCAATTTCTTCCCCTTCTTTTCTCTCTCGCCTGCGGCGTCCGAAGACGACGAAAAACGGCGGCGAAGCCACCGCAGAGCCCCTGAGTCCGCGCCCCGACGAAAAAATAGTGGCGGTGTGGCTCCCTGTCTCTTTTCATTTACTTTTACCCAGTTTGGGTTAGAAATTTCGGTGACCCTCTTCTTTTCATTCACCTTGTTAGGGTTAGGGTTTCGTTAGAGTTAGGATTAACCTGATTCGTTTTTCGTTCACCCGATCTAGATCTAAAAGCCCTGGAAGACCTGGCTCTGGTACCGTTGTTGATATCGAAAAGATCATCAAGGGTTAAGTCTAGCGGGTTCTCTTTACTGTGAATGCGATATCGAGAGTAGAGAGAGAGGGGAATAGAAGAAGAACGTGTCGAACTTGACACCGCAGAGGGAGATGGTCCAGAAGCCGCCATCTCGTTCGTCGGTGAAGGCTGCGCGAGGGCAGCGACGGTCGGTGAGGACGGTGACGGTGATGGGCGGTGAAGACCGGTGACGGCGCAATGCAGTGATGGCGGTGCTTCCCGTCACTGGCTGCGCCCCTCACTAGATCGGGTTAGGGTTTATCGGTGGGGAGCTTGGCTCAGACGAACCTCGTACTCAGAGCCGCCGGCTCTCACCTCTATATATTGCGTAGTGTGACAGGGACCCTACAGTCATAGTGGGCTGGACGCCCCCGATCAAGGTACGGATCAAAGACCCATCTGAGCCGTTGGATCCGGTTTAGGATCATAGATCAATCAAACACATTCCACCTACATGCCACGTGCCAGCTGCGGTATATCAAACATACAAACCCCACGGATAGTACAGTAATTACGCTTCTTTCCTGCGTGTGGGTCAAATGCGAGCCGAGACACAGCACAAGCTCATTCCTTTTGCACGCTTTAAAGCTATCCCCACACAACATTCTCGTCGCCTCGCCGATCACTCTTCTTCCTCCGCGCCCCTCCATCCGCACACGCGCACATGCGACCAGAGCTTAGCTCAGCTTAGCTTACACTACTGTCGCCCCCCCTCCTCGCACGGAGGTTGTGCACACACACACAAACCGAAGCCCTCCCATCCCCCTTCAAACGCGCGCAGCCTGTTCAGCCATGGAGAGTGGCGGCATCATTGCGGCATGTACTCGCCAATGATTGATCTCTCATCGTCTCTTCTTCCAACCACCTCCGCGTCCTCGTCCTCGCCCTCCTCCCTTCCCTGCCCGGCTGCCCGCCTTGTCTCCCCAAAATGACCAGCAACAGCAGCCAGAACATCAGCAGCTGCAGCACCGGCGGAAGCGACGCGGCGGTCGGCGGCAACTGGCTCGGCTTCTCTCTGTCGCCTCACATGGCGGCGACCATGGACGGCGCGGCCGACGGCTCCAGCGGCGTTCCGGTGCAGCAGCACCACGGAGGCCTCTGCTACCCTCCTGTCGTCTGTTCCTCGCCCGCGCCCTTCGGCTACTCTCTCGGCGGCGGCCACGATGGTCACGCCAATGCTAGCGGGGGGTTCTACCCCGGGCTCTCCTCTATGCCGCTCAGCTCCGACGGCTCCCTGTGCATCGTGGAGGCCCTCCATAGGAGCGAGCAAGAACGTCATGGTAATAAGCTAGCTCCTCGTCCAATGATTCAATGGCATTGTTTCTAGGTCGGCAATGAGATCTTCCGAGCACTAGCTCGATCGTACTTGCTGCTACAGTCGAGTTCTTGGTTTGGATGGCTCGTAAGCTAGTACGTATGCTTGTTTTTCTACGTTTCTTGGATGGCTCTGACAAGTTCCTGACTCGTGATCGATCAGGGGTGGTGGTATCCTCGACATCGCCCAAGCTGGAGGATTTCTTGGGCGCGAGCACCGTGATGGCGCTGAGCTTGGACAGCTCCAGCTTCTACTACGGCGGCGGTCACAGCCACCACGCGCACGGTCACGGCCACGACCAAGGCGGCTACCTGCAGTGCGCGGTGAACCCCGGTTCGGGCGGGCACGACGTGTACGGCGGGCACGCGCAGATGGTGGACGAGCAGTCCGCCGCGGCAATGGCGGCGAGCTGGTTCTCGGCCCGCGGCGGCGGCGGCGGCGGCGGCTACGACGTCAACGGCGCCGGCGCCATCGTGCCGCTGCAGGGCCACCCGCACCCGCTGGCCCTTTCCATGAGCTCCGGGACGGGGTCCCAGTCCAGTAGCATCACCATGCAAGTCGGCGCCCACGCCGACGCCGTCACCGAGTACGTCGCCATGGACGGGAGCAAGAAGCGCGGCGGCGGCGGCGGGCAGAAGCAGGCCGTCGTCCACCGCAAGTCCATCGACACATTCGGGCAGCGCACGTCGAAGTACCGCGGCGTCACCAGGTATCCCCAGCCTCCCCACTCCCGACCGTCCGTACGCCGTGGCCGCCGTCGCTGTCGCACCCGTGCGAACCATCCGGCGCCCGTCCCGCACGAGTCGCTCACTCGCGGCGTGGTTTCCACCGTGTAAAAGCAGGCATAGGTGGACGGGGAGGTATGAGGCGCACCTCTGGGACAACAGCTGCAGGAAGGAAGGCCAGTCCCGGAAAGGCCGGCAAGGTACGCGCCACTGCCGCCATGGCAGCCTAGCTACGCCCTTCATCTTATTCACCTAGGAAAACTCCCTGTGCTAGAGCCTGATGAACCGCACTCCCGTGTCTCTCTGCTGAACCTTCACCCATGGGGATTGGTTAACTTCTGGGACGACGTACTACTGCCACTGCCTCCCTGCAGTTTACCTCGGTAAGTACGTGCATTTCGTATTTAATCACTGCTCACTAGGATCAGTAATCCTGTGTGTAGGCAGGTCACAGTAATCTTGTGTTTTCTGGTTGGCTTAGGCGGGTATGACATGGAGGAGAAGGCCGCTAGGGCGTATGACCTGGCGGCGCTCAAGTACTGGGGGAAGTCCACGCACGTAAATTTCCCGGTAATGAACTGAATATATACAACGGTAGTCTGAATATAGGCGGTGTCTTCACAATGTGTGCCGATTGATGTTCTTGTTGTTTCCACCGTTTTGACGCGGATTCAGATCGAGGACTACAGGAAGGAGCTGGAGGAGATGGAGAACATGACCAGGCAGGAGTATGTCGCTCACCTGAGAAGGTATTAATCCTCTGTTCTGAAGGTTAGGATGTTTGGTTTGTTCGAACAGATTGTGACGGAGGGAATCGAATCGATCGCCATTTGTTGCAGGAAAAGCAGCGGGTTCTCGCGTGGTGCTTCGATCTACCGTGGAGTGACCAGGTTTGTGCACGGCCATTCATCACGTCTGGATCAATGCGAAATACTACACGGTCTATTTGCTCGTTGTATGTGCTACTAGAAGGTTACTGAAACGAACGCTAGTTGTATTTCCCGCAGGCATCACCAGCACGGGCGGTGGCAGGCGCGCATCGGCCGCGTCTCGGGCAACAAGGACCTCTACCTGGGAACATTCAGTATGTGTTCTTTCTTTCACCTTCTCACGCTTCCAAGTCGTTATCAGTGTCTAGAGAACCCTGCAATTGCAAACTCAACTCTCCTATCTATCTATCACGCATCATGATCACCAGTGCGACTGCTGGCTGCCGGGCTATCCGTTGCCGTCGCAGAGGTGTGTCACGGTTTAAGGACGCAGGGTGTCCAGTCACAATGGTCGAAAACCGAGCGAGCATCCCCAATGATGCCCCTGCTTTTGGCTCTCTCGCTCGCGCATGCATCGACTCGCCGGCCCCAGTGGTCTCTCCCTCTCGCGTATGCATCCGGACTCCTTTTCCTAAGGCTGGCGCCGCCGCAGTCGGGGTTGCCCGCGCTCGGCTTTGCGTTCGCACGCTCGATCGCGTCGCTTTCGCGCTTTGCCCGTTTGACCGCTGGCCCGGCCAAAAGCGCATTTCCGATGGCTGTCACTCCTGGCGCGCCGTGTTGGTGTTTAAGCGGGTGTTAAGGTGGAGCCGTTTTTGTGCAGGCACGCAGGAGGAGGCGGCGGAGGCGTACGACGTGGCGGCCATCAAGTTCCGGGGCCTCAACGCGGTGACCAACTTCGACATCACGCGGTACGACGTCGAGAAGATCATTGAGAGCAACACGCTGCTCCCGGGCGAGCAGGTCCGGCGCAAGAAGGACGGCGACGCCGCCGCCGCCCCGGTCTCAGAGGCCGACGCCGTGGCCCGCGCCGCCGCGGCGCTGGTGCAGGCCGGCGGCAGCTGCGTGGCGGACACCTGGAAGATCCAGGCAGCGGAGCTGCCGGCTCCTTCCGTCGCGCGGGGAGGCGGTGGCCAGCAGCAGCAGCACCAGGACCTGCTGTCGAGCGAGGCGTTCTCGCTGCTGCACGACATCGTGTCCGTGGACGCTGCTGGGACGGGGGGCGGCAGCGCCAGCGCGCACATGTCCAACGCGTCGTCGCTGGCCCCCAGCGTGAGCAACTCCCGGGAGCAGAGCCCGGACCGGGGCGGCGGCGGCCTCGCTATGTTCTTCGCCAAGCCCGCGGCGTCGGTGCCCAGGCTAGGCTGCCCGCTGCCGCTGGGATCCTGGGTCTCGCCGTCGGCCGTGTCGTCCGCCAGGCCCGGCGTGTCCATCGCGCACCTGCCAATGTTCACCGCGTGGACCGACGCTTGAACATACATCCATCGCTTTACAAGGGTATGGTGGTGGATAGGCAAAAACTGTGGCTCTTTTGGTTTGATTAGGGAATGCCTATTAGTTTGTTGGGTAAGGTTTAGTTGCGTAGTGGAGCGGTAGTCTAATCAGCATATGTCAGGGACTAGAACTCGCCATGCATGGCTGCTTGGCCTCCTGCGATTCCTCCATTTGCGTTGGAGGTTTCTTTTTTGTAACATTGGCTCTTCTCTTCTAATCCGTTTTTTAGTTTGTTTTTTTAGCCGAAACAGTATCTTTTTTTTACCACAAATCAACCGGCTGAAACAGTGTTTTTCAACCAAGCGAACGGGGCCATTGGGGCTAGCAGCAGCATGGTTCCTCCTATAGCCTCACTGATTTGGAGTAGGATGGTTAGTGTTGATCTCCTAACCTCAATCAACTACGAAAACATGCCAAGTAAGATTAGTTTAAACTTCTGTTCCATTCATCAGTGGGTTGGAATTCACGCGCATGAGCTAGGCTAGGGTCGTGCTAACAGTGCGTCTACCTCTCTGTAGTCTGTCTACCTCTCTGTAGTCTATACCGTCTCCGGCGGCGACGGCTTTTGATCTGATGTTCAGGTTCAGTTTCATACGGTGCTCGTGCTACGCTGGGCACGCGGGAAGAGATGACCGATCGCACTGTTCCCGTGCGTGCAGCGTGCCCCCCCCCCACCCCTCTGAGTCCCTGTCGTCTTGCAACACCTGGACGACAGAGGAGGGCGGGCGGCGCCATGGCCCACCGTCCTTTCAGATGTCTCGGTGATGCAGCGCGCGTGTTTTTTTTTTGACAACACAGCGCGCGTGTTGGGTTGCCGGGAAATCGGCAAGCGCGGCCGGCGTCGCACCGCCCGAAAGCCGGGATCCGCTCCGCCGCCTCGTCACTACTCCCGGTCCCGGGCCCGGACCGCCCCGCGCGTTCCGTCGATCCGGTCATATCTCCCCCTCCCCCCCCCGGCAAACACGCGGACGCGGCCTAGCTCACAGCGACGCGCGGTCGGCGCCGGCTGTGGTGGGGGCATGGCGGCATGCCGCATGCCGCATGCCGTGCTGCCCTGCGCCGGCGGCACCGCGGCAGCCGCATCCGCATGTCTCCTGTAGTCCTGTTTTTCCGTCTCCTTCGCCCAAGGCTCTCCTCGCAGGCAACACGCTCCATCGGCTCCTTGACGGTTACCAGACCGCCGGCGCAGCGCAGGGCCGTTATTACGGAGTTTCGAGCCCGTGCTGCGCACGACGGGCACAATAGGCCCATACTGGCTCTCCGCCTGTTTCGTGGAGGGCCTGCTAGGCTTGATTCCCATCTAGTAGGGCCACAGCAGGCTAACCACGAGGCCCAGCCGGAGGTCCGGCCCGTGTGGCATTTATTGGTGCCGGGCGATTTTGTGTTCAGTTCTGTTCTGACTTGGGTCATGTGGTGGGTGTGGTGGCTACGCGCAAATACGGCGTACTATACTATCGTGTGCATTGCTGGACTGCGCTGCCACCTGCCAGCCATTTTATAGCTTGGAATCCTTTGATCGTGCAGCGAAATAGTATTCATACTGGTTTGTACTGAGTGCTGCCCGCTGTCAACTGCGCGTCTTTTACAGTAGCAAGTTATTGCGTTCGCTCAGGCTACCCGTGCGTTTTTACTGTCCTGCGTGCTGTTAGTTTCTTTTACAAAGGTCTGCATGCTGTCGGTGGCGTAAATACAATACACTCCACGCGCCATGATATTTGTAGCACGTACGTACGAGTACATACGTCATCAGAAAAAAAAATTCCCCGCTCCATACGAATTTCATTACACAAGTCACGAACCGAGTCCGAGAAACGCCCCCAGCCCCAGGCGAGGTCCAGGGCCCCCTGCAATAATGCATGACGTCACCATCGTCCGAGCAAATTGTGCTACCCGGCAAAGACAAAACCATCATTAAGCTAGCAGCGGCCACTTCTACCAGATCGCTGGGCTGCGGCCATCATGGCTCGCGTCCGGTCCGCCATGATCGCAAGAGGTCAAGCCCACGTAGCACTGACCCATCAGGGCAATCGCCCGTCGTCCCTTGCCTTGTACTGCACGACGAGGCCTTCCGAGTTCCGAACGCCGAGCAGCGTCACTGCGTCAGACAAAGGGAGATGCACTTGATCACCCATTATTATTCTCTGCGGGCGGAGGACGGGAGGAGGCCTCAACCACCACCACACACCACCGCGCGCGTCCACCGTCCACGACCGCACCAAACCGTCATGTGAAACGTGCTTGCTTTGGTTTGCTTGCTCACTGTGCTCGTCCTCGACCCAGGAGAAAATGCCTCGGCACGGCACCAGCTGTCACGCAGTCGCGGCGGCGTGCGGTGCACGGGCATGACGATAAGGTAGGACGACTCGGCCAGGGTCAAGCGCTGCCACTTCTACGTTGACGTCGCCCACCTGACTCTCGGTTACTCACAGCTCAGCTCCAGAGGAGCCCACCTGACCTGAGGATGAGTTTTTTATAACTTCACGCTTGCTGCCTGGCAGCTGAAGACAAATGAGATCAGTTGGCCAGGTGAGTCACCCAGTTCGCTTGATCGTTTCTGTGTGCCTTATAAGCCGACTGATGAGAGAGAAATACTGTATTATGGTTGATACGATCAAGCGCTGACATTTGCTTCTCTTTGCTTGACATTTGCTTTGAGGCTAAGGGGGAAAAAAACTCCCAGCAAATTTACATGTCCAGTCAGAGAAAAAAATATGTTCTGCCCGACAGAAAGAACCAGTTTGACCAACTGCTGGACACTTGATCCACAATGATTATGGGCATATGGAGGAGACAGATCTTCCAGTCATGTGACAGCGCTCGACAACTCCCAACTTTCCCCCAGCGTCAAGCGGGGACAAGTACAACAAACACACATGGACAAGCTCACGATCTGGATCTACTCCCAACTTCACAAGTAGAGCAAGAGATCAGCAGCGTCCAGCTGCATCTACCAGGACGTCTCCTTATCCAGTGGCACTTCTGTTTGCCTTCACCAATCGTACAGGCGAACAAGTGTGTGCTGTTACATCCTTGAGAAACATCCACACATTAGCACCAAAAATTTGTTACAAAAGAATGGGAGGGGACCCTGGACCTGGAAGAGCCGCGACGCAACAAATTTTACAGGCCGAGGAAACTGTATCTACACCTCCGAGGCGGAGGAGGTTCCTCTTCACGTGTGGATATCATCATATGCCGTGCAGCCAGGACAGATCCGGGAAGGCACAGCTGCACAAAGCATATCTTTCGAATCTCAGCCAAGGGCTGCTGCCACGTCCATGGCAGTGAGCCAGTAACACATCCCTCCCCCCCAGCACTTCCATGGTGACTCCCCGTTTTCCACACCTATCAATTTCTGTTTTACACATTTTACTCGACCTGCTCGCCTATGAGGTCAAGGCCTACTAACAAGAAGGAGATGCCCTGGAACAGGAGGAAGTAGAAGTGTATACCCTGCTTCGAGAGCAAGCTTCAGGCGGCCATGTTAGGAGCAACATCGAGAGCGCGAGCTCCTTCTTGTATATCCGGTTGTGCTTCTTTTTTTTACGTCCTTCTTCGATGCCAGCTGCTCCTTTGCAACCGCGTCGAGGTTCGGTGCAGAGCCTGTCTTTAGGTGCTTCAGCTCCTTGGGGGCCAGGGAAATGAGATCGCCTCTGATGAGCGGCCTGATTTCTTGGTCACCACCCACTCAGTATCGCGCTTCCAAGCTGGAACAGACCAGAGATCATGGCGTTGAACTTGGTCACGGACATGGTGTTCTCGAAGAGCAGGTATGGGATGATGAAAGGGAATGACTTCGGAGAAGGCAGGATGTTGAGCAAGGACATGAGGGCAGGAATGTAGCACACGACCCAGTCAGGAAGCTCGGCTTCAGGCACAAACATCGTCATCGGGAGGATGATGCAGAAGAGCGTGAAGGAGTAGAAAGGTAATATGAGCTTTCGAAGCAGGAAAAAAAGGAAAATCAGGTTGGCTTTCTTCCAAAACGCAATCTGCAGCAAAGTGAAATAAAGTGAACAATAAATTAGAAGTCTGAAAGGTAAATTATGTTCATAACAATAACTAAAAGATAACTGAGGAGCAAGTTAATAGAGTATCATATTATAGTCTACAAATAGAGGTACAGTTTATATTGCACTGCGTGGAAGCCAAATGATGACAAGCATCTTAAAAGTGCATCAACCTAAGTAGCACAGTGGAAAGGTACATAATGTAGAGTACAGGTTCTAAGCAATGAATTGGATGGATCCAGACACTCAGATCAAAGGCATCACACACAAAACATCTAGCTTTTCATGCTTTTATTAGCATGTACATCATTGGAGCACACTCTGGGCACGGACAGAAATGTCCCATAGCCAAAGAAAATAAACCATTGCAAGGATGTATTTTATTAGCATAATGCGATCTTACTAAACAGTATGTTAATTGAACAGGATATGTGAAGCATGCTATTTGGGGTCGAGGTTAAGTGCAGTTGTTAAAGAAGCAACAATGACGCCTTAAAAATTCAAGATATACAGCAAAGAAACATGTAAACCGGGATTGCAGTGACTGTGATAATTCTTTGTAATCACTACTGCTACAGATATTAACCAAATAGTCACAAATAGAATCCAATGTTACATCATAGCACCAAAACATAAACCATATTTGTGCTGACAACTATAGTGCCTTTAAATCATAATAACTACTATAGATCGTAAATTCCTTGCCAAAAGGACATCACTAAATTTCCTCATTAACGGCACAACTTGAATTATTAAGTATTGGCTAAGGGATAAGGTAGATCCAAAGAGCATTGCAATACCTTGCATTTGATGATGTCCGTAAACAAAGCCTGAATAGCTGCATTGGACCAGAATGCCACCGATGCTGCTGCTTCCTGTAAGCCTCATAAGACTCGGGCAATTCGCACTGGCACTGTCCACAATACGACAAAAATCAGGTCAACTGAGGAAAACATAACATGAGCAAACACCAATTGGAAGATTTTCATATCAGACTAGTACCTCAACATCATTCAGGAATATAAACTTCCAGCCATGGAGATGTGCCCTAACAGCAATGTCCATATCCTCCACGGTTGTCCGTTCCATCCATCCACCTGAGTCCTCCAGTGCCTTGATCCTCCACACCCCAGCAGTGCCATTGAACCCAAAGAAGTTTAAGAACACCCCATTCACCTGCTGTTCCACCTCAAAGTGGAAGCAAAGATTAATATACTGCAACCGAGTCAGCAGGTTCTCATCCTTATTCACAAAGGACCATCTTGCTTGCACGAGCCCAAGTTCATTATTGTCCTGCAATGATCCATTTGACGAATTTGACTTAGAATCCTAAAATGAAGACAAGCAATCGAAAGTAAATTCCCTCAATTCACCTTGAAATGTGGCACAGTGCGCTTCAGAAAGTCAGGATGAGGTTGGAAGTCTGCGTCAAAGATGGCGACAAATTCGTAATCCTTCACATAGCTGCAGCTCATGGCTGACTTGAGGTTTCCAGCCTTGTAACCATCCCTCAACACACGGTGCCTGTACACAATCCGGGCACCTTGCTGTTGCCATTTGGCCACCTCTTCTCTAATCAGAGTCTGTGTCAGTGGGTCGTCGGAGTCATCCAACACCTGAACCAAGAAGTTGGATTTCGGCCAGTCAAGGTTGCACACGGCCGCAATTGATTGTTGATACACCTGAAGAAACCCAACAACAAACCAATTGTCAAAAGAACGAGAGGTAGGTGACCAGAATTGCGTAGTATTTAGAGCGAGAAAGACAACACCAACCTCCTTCTCGTTGCACATTGGTATCTGGACAAGTACCATGGGGTAGTACCCGGCATCCGGGTCCTCCACATCAGGCAATGCTAGGGACTTGGGCTTGGGCTTGATGCGCTTGATGTGGATGTAGAAGCAACCAAGGCACTGGATGAGGCGGTCGGCGCTCTGGATGAGGAAGAGCACGACGCAGGCGTCGGTGAGGAACTGTATCCCCGGCGCAACGTAGGTGGCGCGGAAGCGCAACCAAGAGGCGTAGAGCGACTCGAGGCCGATGACGGGGAGGGCGAGCGCGGAGGCGGCGAGGTTCCAGCCGTTGAAGTAAGCGGCGACCTCGACGGCTAGGAGGAGCAGGGAGACGACGAGGAAGGCCTTGATGAAGGCGTAGAACCTGGAGCGCACGACGGGGCTCTCGCCGGTGGCAGCCACCACGCCGGCCTCGGCGTCGGTCCTCCCCGCGGCCACTCTGCGCCTGGCCGCGCCGCCTAGCGCGACGGCGGCGGAGGCGAGCGAGGCGAGGCACCCAGCGGCGCGGTGCGCCTTGAGGAGCAGCACCCACCTGATCTGCTTGGCGTTCTTGGTGCGGCCCCCCTTGCGGCGGCCGGCGGCGGCCAAGATGTCCTCGTCGTCGTCCTCCGGCGAGGAGATCTCGGAGATGGACCAGTTGGGGTTCTCCATCTTGACCACCACCGGCGTGCCCCGGTAGGCGTCGCCGCCGGCCTTGCCGCCCCACAAACCGCTCCACGGCGCCATCAATGGCCGGTCCAAGAAGCCCGCCGCCTCCCCCGGCCTAGGCCACGCCTCTCGTTCTCTCCCCTCCAAAAATAGCCGCTCAATCCGCCACACGCTAATCCTGGGCTTCCTTTCCTTTTGGCCCCGCCAGCTCCACTCCAATGCCAATCCCTCTTCTCACAGGAAAATCTCCAAAGATTACTAGTACTAGTGCTACTCTGCAGAAGCTCCGCTCCACTTCCGTTTGAGAGTGAGCTTTATGAAGATGAGGGGAAGAGGAGGGCAGAGGTGGGAGCTGATGCTGCTGAGGCTGAGCGGAGGGAAGGCGACGAAGGACTGGGAAACAGCTCAACACGTCTGGGGAGAGAGAGAGACGAGAGAGATCCGGCGGAAGGGTAGCCCCCAATATTTTACGAGGTGTTCGTTCTCTTGTCCTTCCGCATGTCTGTGGACTTCCGCGGCGCGTTGTTCTACTTCTGGCCTTGGTTTGGTAAGGCTTTTAATTTGGGAGTTAATTACGCGTTTTCTGTGGGTTAAACATGGCAGGGGGAGAAGGGCAAAAGAGGAAACATCATTATGACCTTTCATCAGGTATGTAGTTTTTTTTCACATTTCACACTTGCCTTGCCTACCTGTAGCCGTTTGAATCAACTTCTTTTGTCGCCAGAATTCATGAGAAATTGCGAAATTAGGATCTCTCAGATTTCGTTGGTCTTCTTGGCCAGTCTGTTTTTTGTATGGATATTGGTCATGCTCGCTTTGCTGAAAAACCATGGTTGAAAGTACTGTTCGCTGATTTGTTGTGAGAGGAAAACACTGTTCATTCACTGAAATAGCACGGCTCATAAGATAAGTGAACATGATCAATATTCTTGCCTTAAGTTTTGTTATGTATTTGTTGTCATTTTCCTTTTTCCCCTAACTATATGGTCCAAGCTAGACGGGCCCTCTTTTCTCTCTTTAGCACAAGAGAGGAACAATATGCAGGAGGCACCCTTTGGGCCATGCAATTGTAGAAAGCAGTCCCTGTTTAAAAAATGTAAGAAATCAGACGTATATAAGAACGCAAAAGTTTCTATGCAACCCGTCGTAATAGAGCGCAACCCCGTGTCTCCCTCTCGCACGCGCCCATGCCTGTGCCAAAGAGAAAGAAGAAGCCGGCGGTGCTTAGGGTTCCGGTGACGACGAGGTTAGGGTTTCCATCTCCGACGACCTTAGAAGGAGGTCCAGGGGGAGACAGGCACGACACAGCAGTGGTGACGGGTTGAAGGGCAGCAAGCAAGGCGATGGGAGGACAACCGGTTGGGCAGGGACAGCGACGGGGGTGGCACGACGGAGCTCGCGCGGGTTCCCTGCCCTGGGATTAGGGTGGGCGGGGTCGAGGGACTGAGGCGGGTCAAGGGTGGCGTGGCGAGGCGGCTCGCTGTCGGCCGCTGGTGGTGGGGGCGAGGGCGGGTGCGGGGGCGGGGTGAAGCTGTGGGTGAGATAGGGCGCATCCAGAGGTTGAAGACGGGTAGCATGCTCCCTGAACGCGTGACCCGCCGCGCGTTAACTCTGTCCATATACGAAGCCCCTTCCATACCCAATCGAATGGATAATTCCACTGTATTAGCAACCGACACGAATCGAGCCCAAAAAAGACACGTTTTATCTAAAAATGTATGCTTAATTAGAATCCTATTCGTTTCCTCTACCCTGTTCGGCAGGACTTATCGCTGCTGCGGCTGATTTGTAGGGTTAATTTATTGTGAGAGAAAAACACTGTTCACATAGCTAAAAAGTAGAACTGATTCTGGGTGATAAGCTCAAGCGAATGTAGCCTAGGAGCGCAATTTGAGGGGTTCCTTCCATTTCTGGTAAAAAATATATCGAACTGTTGGTTTCGGTTTGGGCTGAATTGTGAGTTTCAGAGCTCTCATGCTCCAAAACACTACACTGATTACGTATTTGGTTTAACTTCGTCTTGAGAGGATGTCAAGTAATTAAGGCCCTGTTTAGATCCCACCCAAAATCCAAAATTTCCCAAGATTCCCCGTCACATCGAATCTTGCGGCACATACATGGAGCATTAAATGTAGGTAAAAAGAATAACTAGTTGCACAGTTTGCCTGTAATTGGCGAGACGAATCTTTTAAGCCTAAATAGTCCATAGTTGGATAATTTTTGCCAAATACAAACGACAGTGCTACAGTGTCCATTTTACAAACTGAAAGGGATCTAAACAGGCCCTAACCACTTGGGTATGATAAAAAAAAAAAACCTACTTGGGCGAGGTCCTTGCTGGAAAAAGCGAGCCAAGGAGCCGTTAACTCTTGACCTGCCTCCCCGTGAATAGATAGAGGCCAACAGCTAAAACGGAGCTGGCCGAACCAACGGCGGAGATCGCCACCGACGCGGCTCTTTCAAACTGAGCCGTCCGACGTCTCTGGCCTTTTCCTCCTGCCGGCGTCACTCCCTGGCTGGCTGCCTCCCATCCCATCCCAGGCGAAGGAAAGCGACGCGGAGGAGCGCAGAAAAGGGGAGGAAAGCGAAGGCGGAGGAGGTGTCGGACGCGGGCCCCGCCCCGGGACACAGAGACGGGCGTGCGGGCCCCGTTTGAGTGGGGCACGGTCCGCGGTCCCACGCTGGGTCGCGGGTGCGTTCCCGTGGTGCCGTACCGTGCGCTGCGCCCCCTCGCTCGCCCGCCGCAGCGCCGCTATTCAATTCCGCTGCTCCTCCACCCGATCGGCTCCGCTGTGTTCCAGTCCAGGGTCGCCCCGAACCGTGCTCGTGCCGTGCGAGCCAGTCCCCTGTCCCGACCCCGAGCTTTGCTTGCTCGGCTAGTTCCAGCTAGCTAGTCCGCACTGCACAGGCAAGGGCGGTGAATCGCACAATCTGCACACTGCAAAACACTGCATCGCGTCGCGGGCGAAAGCAGATCAGCTCGGCCGGGTTGGCATTCTGCTGGCACGTATACGTGCACGAACCGCGCGCCGCCTGCTTGATGCGGTGGTGCCTGGCTGCCTGCCACTGGCGAGAGGAGTAGTACGTGGACGAGTCAGTAACACGTGGCCGCGTGAAGGTAAACACGTGCAGTAGCGGCAGTAATACCCCCTGTATGGTGTATGTATGCTACAGGCTGCAGTAATAAGCCAGTAATGACACGGGTATAAATTGCTGGACTCTGGAGCAACAAAGGCAGAGGATGCACGTACGCTCTCTCGCTCTAACCAGGGTAAGTACACGTGGTCCACCGCTGTACTTACCCTAGTTATTAGTTATTGTGGGCAGCTTGGGAAAATTGCCCAAGCTATCTCCGACAATGTTAAGGATGCGTGTAATGATACTCCATCGGTTGGCTCGAGTTGTCAAAATGCAGAAAGTTCAAGGCCAAGCAAACGATACAAAGAGCCTAGAACGACAAGTTGAATGGAACATTGATGATTATTGTGAAATCCAAACAGATTCCCCTCCTCTCGAATTCTCCTTTTTATCTACTTTTGTTCTTCGTCCTCCTCTAAATCTTCATACTCCGATTGCTACTCATCTAATCCCCTGGCTGTCTTCTAACCCCAACTACCCTGTTGTTAATATACAACCCCCTCTTCCTCCCTACTCTATCTCTCTTATCCTTTGGCCCTTCTCCTCCCCTCCTGGTAATCCTATGTTGGTAGTTTTTTTCTAGTCAGAGTCAAGCAATTGTCTAAAGGATCGACAAAAATGTTAAGTTGCCGATCGGTGTCCCAACAAAAGTTATCAACTAATCATCCATTCGAAAGCTCAAAGTTTAACAATCCAGAAGATTAGTTATGCTTCCCCATCTGTCTGTCTATATTGTGTGTGTGTGCGCGCGCGCTTGTCGTCCCTAACTATTAGCGAAGAAGCAACAAGTTGAACCTAGTTGCTGCTCACCAGGGACAGCAGTTGGTAGGAGCCGAGGAGAGAAGCTACAACCTAGTCAAGCAATCAGAGGTGCAACTACATAAGGCGGCAAGGACAACACTTATTGCAAAGGGAGCATCGGTGTCGATGCTATTGACAACGAGGTTACGTAACGACTTTGGTTAATAAGCGGCAACTGGTAGGCGTCAATGTTAGACGAGGATAAGGTAAAAGCTTGCGATAACACACAAGAGCATGTTTGGATGCGTCCATCCGGCGAGCTCGCATGCCCCCACTCGTATAAAAATATTGGAGAAGCTTGTTTGGATGTCTAGTTCTGCAGTGCAAAGAAATGATCCCTCCATTACTAAAATCAGATAATAAACCTTTAACAAGACCTACATTAGCAACTTTTCAAAACATCCTAGTCGAAGAATTAGGCAGGACCTAATTTTCCCGGGCACCCACATTTGTGTGCTCCCTGCCCCGGCCTCCAGGTGACAGGCCGGATACGCCGCCGCCCGCCCGCCCGGCGCGTCACGCGTGGTTTGGCTCAGCCAGCCGACCGCAACGCGATCCATGTGCCCTGTTCCGCCGGCTGCCTGCGGTGGCCTACTCCGCTGCGCCCATGGCTCAGCGGAAAACGTCGGGCCCAGCGCAGGGGACTCGGGGGGCGAACGCGGAAATGGAAAAATGCCTGTGTTTCGACATGACGAAATGCCTCCGGTCTTTAACCAAAATCGGATGGGTCTTGTGGTGTCAAAGCACAAGAAATCAAGGGGGTCAGCGGAGGAAAAGTGGGGAAAAGGTGCCGTCCACCCCGCGATCAACGTGACGGATCACCGGAGAACAAGCGTCACGTTCGCTTGGTTTATAAATCGTATTTTTTAGTCAACGAATAATATTTTTCTCTCATAATAAATTAGTTAACGATACTTTCAGCCATGACTTATCAACCAAACGAATATGACAAAGATGCATGCAACTGCACGTTCTCAGGGGCTCAGGGCTCATCTGAGTCATCTCATCTAGTTGTATTATCTGTGGCCGGCTGTATGGGCGATGGACATGTTGATCAGAGCAGGTAGGACCCTTCTTCATGCCACTTTAAACATGTGCTAACTTTGGTAAGCAAATGTTAATCCATTAACGGTACCAATGTTTCATCGCACGCCCCGTTGGCTTATCTTAAAAATCCGACTTGTTTAGCTTTTTTTTTCCAGCCGGAACAATGTTTTCTCTTACAACAAATTAATTGGAACAGTGTTTTGACTTCTTTTTTCAGACAAGCAACGGGACCTGTCACGTACTGGTAATTAAAGCTTGTACTCTGCCATTGTATCTGTAATCTGTGCGATGTGGCGCTCTCTTCTCCGGTCAGTAGCACGCATGATGTGCACATCATACATCCGACGAGTTCCTGCGAGACGGACAAGGAGAAGAAAACGAGAAAGACTAAAGACGTGTCGATGGCAATCTAAAGCGGACCTTCCGGCATCAGAGAGCAAACAAACGCCTCGGCATGAATCGGAGTATCGGGCTATCGCAGGCCGTATACCGAGCCATCTGGCCTTTATACTACCACGGTAGCATGCGATCGAGACGTACGTGCGAGGAGAATCGGTCACTATCCTGTGCCCCGCTAGAGAACAGAGGAGCGGACAGGTTCTTCGGTTGCACACTCGCTGTCTCGGCCGAGAGCAGAGCTCCTCCTCGCACTCGCAGAGCTGAAGCTAACGACCAAATCCAAACGTCACATTTCGATCGGCGTTGGACCTTCCGGTCAGCATGCTTGCATGCATGAACTTGCCGCGACCGCGATTTTTCTCGAGCAGATCCGGCGCGGAATCAGGCAAAAGTGGAAAACGGAAACGCCACGTGCTTTAGCCCGCGTCCACCGTCTCGGTAGGCTCCAGTGCGCGCGCGACCCACGTGCCGGCCGGGAACGCCGCATGTGAGTGAGACTGTGAGAGTGAGGTCGCCTACGCTACGACGTTTCCTGCCGCTCCGCGCTCACTGTCGCTGGACCATCTCCGTCTGCGCCCGGGGGGGTCTTGGCATGTGAGATCCACCTCAGGTCCACAGTTATGGCGATGATGACAGCGCCGACGGACGCTAGGAACACGGTCCTGAAAACTAACAGCTTCCCTGGTAAGTACGTACACTGCACACCCTATACGCAGCTTCTTCACTGCTTTAACGCTGGTGGCAGTTGTAAAAAGAAGAAGAAGCTGGTGGCAGTGGCACAATACATTATCGTAACGTTTGGATAGAGATCGGGATAGAGACAGGGAAATGGATATTCCACCCTGCAAAAGGTAATACTGTATCCTAGCCATCTATCATTTATGCCTCATTTAAACCTAGCCATTCATCTATTTCCTTTTTCAATTTCCTATCCCACTCCCTCTGTATTCAAACGCCACCTATTTGTTCGTTCTCGTTCTGACAGCAACCTTTGTTACCACTTGTATGCAGTCCTCGCCGGCTCGCGATCGTGTTTTTCTTTGTCGCCCCTCATGTATTCTACGGGTGGACGCACAGTTGCACAAAATGAAAAGCTTCATCTGTTCTCTCCAATTCTCCATGAGTAAAGTGCAGAGGTGAACAGGAGATTACTATACATTTTAAAAATACAATTCTAATATAGTACAAACAAAGGCAAATCATCTCGAGATTGATCAACTTTGTATAAAATTATTAATATTTATCATAATAAAAGAATATTATAAGATTCGTCATAGTAGAATTTTTTCTTATTATTCCTATTTAGTGTCATATACATACTTCTTTTCCATATAAGTTTAATCAAACTTTAATTAATTTAACTAGAATTGGATTATTTTCAGCTAGTAGATGCCAGACAGAGATGCTGAAGGCGTGTTTTATGTGCACGCTGCTTTTCTTTACGAAGAAGGAGCCAAGGACAAGGAGGCAGGGAAACACATGCCAAATCGGCAATTAACCGAGGTCCCACGTTGTCCTCCCCACCCCTGTCCAGATATGGGCAGGCTGGCTGGCTGTCTGGGCCCATCCGGCCGTGACCTCGCCGCTGCCAGCCCACCTTCGCCATCGCCGACACGCCCTCAACTCAACGGCCGCCGCGATGCCTGCACCATCTCCGGCAGCGTCCAGTTGCCGCCGCCGTCATGCTCCCATGTCAAAAACCTAGCCCAGTGCATAAGAATAGTACATGACGTCTTCCACGACGAAGTCAGTTCCCGGATGCGCCGCCGTCCACGCCGTGAGCTTTTTTCGTTACCTTCTGCACAGGTGTTCACTAGCAGTATTCGTCTGTTTCTAGTCTGCCTCCATTTGTTTTAATGCAGAAGCGTACGAGACGCAGGGTTTATCTGTGTTGAACGCACGCATCTGCAATTTTGTCTACCACGCCTCTCGAGGGCGGCGGTTTTGGAACATTTCGGGTCAAGCCGTCAAGGGACGGCACCCAAGTCCCAACAGATCGCGCCCTCCTGGTTGTGAATGCAGGTGTTGACGACCAACGGCTTCCTGCGATGCGAATCTATATATGTGCTTGTCTCGCCAAAGACGACGACGACGACGACGGTGTCATTCTGTCAAAGCCTTAAAGTAATCCAATTCTTCACGCGTGAACTGACACGGCTACAGAAGTGTCGTGCCAAAATGCGAGCCGCGGCGGGACAACCTTTTGCCCGGTTACATCTGGGGCATCCGGAACGCGAATCCAGCAGAAGCTTCGTGCTACAATCTAAGTCAGCGGTCGATCGTGATGGCATATCGTTTTTTTTTACTTGATTGAAAAAGGTACTAGCAACAAATAGTACCGAACAAAAAAAAAAAGAGGCACTTTACAAGGCTACAAGCAAACAAGAGGTGTCCTACCAACTTTAAGGCTTGCCCTATCACCGACCACGATCAGAAAACCCGACACCGAGCAATGGCGTGTCGATACGTACCCACGCGTGTAGGGCACCCCGGGGCCGAGTCACCGTGCGCCGCGCACGCACGAGAGATGCCCCTGCGGCGTCGCGGCTGGCTGATGAGTGATGAGCTGAGCAGCGAGGCGCCACACGAGACACGACACGCAGCGCTCGATTATTACCCGCAATCAATCCTAGATCCGTCATCCGTGGCACTGTTCACCAGATCACCGGCTACGCTGCGCAGCTCGATCAGCCAGCCGTGTCCATGGCAGCATTGATCAGAGGTGCCCGGGGACAGGGCAAGGGCCAGGGCCAGCCATGGAGGGATGGATGGCTTCATGGCGGGGCTGCCGTATCCGTGCGATGGAAATGTATCTGCTTCTGCTCCGTGCAATGTACTGTACTGTACATGAAGTGGTCCACTGCCTTGAGGGGGCCTCCTCTTCCATTTCCATGCCGGGCTTGGGCGCTTGGCGACGCACTGTCGTCCTCTGTGTCGAGGGACCAGCAAAGCTGGTAGCGGTTTTCGGATTGGCTGGGCGGCGGCAGCACGCCAGTAACGCTCTCCTCGTGACACCCTGGTTGGAATTTTTTTCCTGAATTTGTGTTGTGGCTATTTGGATCTTGTTCATGCACATAAAAGGAAACGGGACTGGAAATGGGACGCATGCAAGCACAGAACAAGGAGTCAAGGGCAACAAGATAGCGAGATGAAATGGCTCCTAGTCCACACAGCTGAATCAAAATGTCTCATGGGCTGGGCCTCCTTTCCCCAGTTTAAGCTACAGAAAGAATCAATTCCAAAACATTTTACAGAAAGAATCTTGACATCTTGTTGGTTGGTGGTGGTACAGTAACAAAGTACTAGAGGAATTCCACCACATGATTCTCGGAAATAAATGATCAGTGTACATAAGTCAACAAAATCCAGAAAACGAATTCGACGCCGTAAATACAGAACTCGTCGTTGGAGGCTTGGAGCAGACAATAAAACCATTGTCAACAGTTTATCCTTTCCTCCCTGATCCTCCACGAACTCAAGCAACTGGTGTTTGGAACCTCGACAGTTTCACGGTAGCCTTCCTCTCCTTCCCAACCCGGGAAGGTGCCATAAGGCCACTGCGCAAACAGAAAGTAAAATTGTTATGTCAGGCTCAGGCGTCACGCCGTGGACAGCAACATATATATGGCCTGTCAGGGGTGGAAACAGAAAGTTAGACTGTTTGAGCTTAACTAGGAGTCCTTGCAAACCTTGCTGTTCTGGTTATTCGAGTTGATGATGCAGCAACCCTAGAAACTGTCTGTGGTTTCACAGCTTTGCATTGGATGCTGTTGAAGGCCGGCCTGGACTCACCTAGCTGCTGCTGACCCGTTACAATCAGGGTGCTTTGTTTCTTCTGAACATATATGGTAAGCACAGATCAGCATGAGCACTCGTACTACTTGTATACTTGAATTCTACTAAGAAATATTTGGCAGCATTAATGCTCACCTGTTTCTTGCCGCAGGTCGGCTTGTCTCGTCCCTTGCCATGGGTGTGTTTGTCCATTTGCTGCATTGTATTGCAAACATACAGAGCAGTCAGCGACCTGGCTGTTGAAACTTGAAAATGATGGGCATCTGGAAGCTGATGAGCTTACCGTCGGTCCTCTGTTTGCATCCTTGAGTACTGCCATGGAGTTATTCTCAGAGAACGGCTGCCTTTTCTCTGGTTTTGCTTCTTTAAGCACTCCTCTTTCCTATAGAGAATAGACCAGTGAGAAGCAAAGCTATTTTTACTAGGAACTAATCGTGAAGTACAATGAGAATCGGAGAGTGTAAATACTCACGTCAGTCCTTAGCCTGAATGGCCTAGGATTGGTAGTTTTCTTCAGCTTTCCTGCTTGCTCCGGATGCACTTTGTTCTGCATTTTGGCCACCTGCATTTGATCCACACCAGCATGTCAGGTTCTTCACATCCTAACTGCAGGGGGAAAAAAGCTCCATTTCTTTTTCAGTACCATCAGTTCACAGTCAGTTACCTTCAGAGCAACATTCTCCTTCAGAGGAACATTCTCATTGTTCTCCAACTGTCTGTTTTCACTTTCAGAATGTGAATTGTCCGATGCTTCTTCAGTCGGAGCACTCGACAGATTCTCCTTGTTGTCATCGGAATTGTCAGATCGCGATGTATCCACCTCAATTCTCAATTCCTGCAGCACCACCTTCCTTTCCTGATCGGAACCAGCAGTTTCTACAAGCAAGTTCTCGTCTGCAGCAGTGCTGCAACCATTTCGGTTCTCTCCATCAGGCTCCGCATTAGCACACTTCGCCGAGCGTCCTAAAATTTTCTTCTTGGCATTCGTCTTGGATTCCTGCACCCGGTTGTCGCTCTTGGCCACCGCGGTCTCCTCACCCTTCTTGGCAGTCTTCGGATTCTTCAGCTGAGACATGTACCTGCTCGGCACCTCCCGGCACGCCAAGTTCAGCTTCCTCGGCTTGGAGCAGGCCTCAGGCACCGCCTCCTTGCCCTTGTCTGCCGCCGGCGTCTGGACCTTCTCCTTCTTTGGCGTGCTCATGAACAGAGCCTTGACGACCGTCCCCTTCCTGGCTGCAGCGGCGAACGGCTCCTTCTGGTGCTTCACGCTGTGGAACAGCTCCGGCCTCGGCCGGACGGCCTTGCTCCGCGGCGTCGTCAGTGCCTTCTTCCTCTCGCTGGGACATTCGACCCTCGCAGCCTTGGTACGGATTGGGGACGCTCGCAGGGCGCAGATCCGCTGGACCCTTGGCTTGGGCTTCGCCGGTGCCTTATCTGCGGCCTCCGTCTCCACGCTCAGCCTCGCGAACCGAGCCCTCGGAGGCTTCGGCGGCGCAGATTGCGGGCATTTCAGCATCGAGCTGCAGCAAAATTAGAACCCGGGATATAGATCTGAATCGATGACCGTAGAGTTCAAATGGAGCATCCAGCTCAAGTCGATGCTGTCGGTACCGTACCTCTGGTTCTTCCTGCTGATAGCCTTCTGTAGCAGCATGTTGGGGCTTCTCGCCGCCATGACCTGCGAATTAGCATCACACCATTGATCAATCGACGACATTCGCGTTGTATTGTATCCCGGGTTGATTGATACTAACGGAGATATGATAGAGAGAAGGGGACAAACCCGCATAAAGAAGCTCCTGTCCAGGGCCTCCGGGTCGACCTGCTCATGGCTCTGGTCACAACCTGCGTGCCACGACACGGATAAGGACCCTTCGCTAGCGCAGAACCCGCGAAGCAGCGAAGAACCGAGACGACTTGCGAGGGGGTTTGTCGATCACTTACCGACTCGGAGGCAGAACCAGGCGGGGTCGTCGTCGGGGCGGCCGGCGTCGGGCGCGGTGAGGTCCACGAACTTGGGCGCCTGGATGTCCTCGTAGAACAAGGCATCGTCGTACTCCTCCTCCTCGTGGTCCGGGTGCCTCGACGGGATCCCCATGGAGTTCTCTGGATCCTCGACGGGGTGCGCCGGCGGGCGATCGAGCTGGCAGCTGAGCTCGCTGGCGCGGCGGCCGCGGTGGCGAGGTGCCGGTGTTTGGGCTGAGAATCTGAGATGATGCCTGGTGGCGCGGGTGCTGGATGAATTTGAGATCGCGGAGGGGAGTGTGAGCGGGTGGAGGGTCGGCAGGCTAGGCAACTAGCCGTTGGAGCGGCGGCGTTGCGTTGGATTGGAGGGAATTTTTATATTAAACAAAACGGTGGGTGTCGGCACATGCCACATGGCAGCTCTCCAGAGACGTTGGCAACGGCTGCAACTTGAACTAACTGAACTCGATGGATCGGTGGGGAATGGGGATTACATTACATGGAGGGTAAAATGAGCTGCTTCAGAGTTCAGATTTGCAAAACGAACTGGGTTACTGATGTAGGTAAAAAGGTAGAAATAGCCGCGTGACCGTATAATTACACGGCTTAGCACATGGTTCAGACTTAGTGAAATTTAAATAGCAGGTATCCTCGTCACATGCTTTACCATCTCGTTCCGCTTCTAAGTTAGTGGCTTCATCAGTGATTTTTTGTTAATAGAAGTCGAGATTATATCATCGTGATTTGTAATAAGCCACACATCTTTGCAATTGCTTAATGTTTGAATAACGCCATGACCTTGAGCGCTCTAGGCGCTGAGGGTGGTGAGACAACTTTGTATAGTTAAAAAAATATTATCATCGAGACAATGTGTTGTTAGCGGTGAAAGAGGGTATCTACTGGGTGGTGGTGATAAGCGAGATGAAGATGAGCTTAGAAGAAGAGGGCGGGGGAAGCCATGAGTGACTTAAACCTAGCGTGGCACACGTGCGTCAAGCCTCACTCGCCGATAACTCACGTGCCACCATCTTTGTTGAGATCTATGTGGTCGTTGTGGGCTCTTGGCATCTCAAAATGACTTTGGGAGCTTCCTATTTAGTCACTACGCCTCTTATCTCGCTCTATTGGCTTCCCCTCCATATCTGCCATAAGCTCGCGTTTGTCCCCTTGTAGCTTTATAGCCTCCTCGTCATGGCCACAGGCCTTGTCGCACTACTTCGCCTACAAGGTCCACACCTTCTTCTATCTCTTGTCCATCGTCTACCTTAGCAACTCCTATACGGTAGTTACCCCAAGCCGTGTGCTTCCACCTCTACCAATTTAAACCGGTCGAAGATAGAACGAATAAGGCAGAGAGAAGAGGAATAAGGGCCTATTTGGATCATCTTCTCTAAACTTTAGAGATAAAGCTTCAAATAGGTAGTCTAAAGTTAGCTCTAAACTTTGGTCCACCTCACGTTAGAGTTTTAGAACTCAAAAGTGAGCTAAAATGCTCTAAAATTTTTAAAACTTTAATTAAAGTTTAGATAAAGGAATCAAACATGCCATACGATAGAGCGAGGACAAAAGAAACCGTTCGTAACCTCTCTCTCCACTATTGAATAAATAACTATTTTAATTGTTACGGTGGCTACTGATGAAAATTCAAGCTTTTATAATGGCGCTAGACATATTTGAACGTTAACAGTATGCATCAATAAATCCTACACAAGATTAATGCCTGTGAGCAAAAATTGCCTATTCATTTTCGTGTCACGAGATAAATTCACCACGGGCAGATTGTATCATTGCGTGCCCATCGATATTTTGGTCCAAACTTCACTAGAAACTGAAGTACATGTGATTTGTGAACCACAGCGTGGCAGAGAAGCCCAATGCCAATCGAGCCCAACACAGCTTGATTACCTGGGTCAAACCCCGATTTCTCTTTCTTCACAGCCACTAGAATTCGGCGTCTGCATAATTCGGAAAAAGTCCACATTACCTCCTTCAACTTTTGTGAAAATCTGTTTTTTCTCCCTGAACTCTAAAACCGGGTAAACCACCTCCCTGAATTTTTAAAATAGTTCATTTTACCTCCTTGACCGGTTATAAGCAGTTTTCGAAGGCGGTTTTGTCTCTGTCTTTTTTATTTATTTTGGCTGAATTTTTAAAAAATCATAGTAAACCATAGAAAAATCATAAAATAGAAAATCCAATTTTGTTGGACTCCACATGTAGATCTACACAGTGAACATATAATACGATATGCTTTAATACAAACTTTTTGTTGTAGCTTTAGATATACGTTTTTTTGTAATTAATTTATAGCTGTAGTTTCTATGCTCAAATTGTGCTGAAATTTTTATGGTGGGTTAATTATTGTATGTTTGAACTGTAGTAAAAATTTCATACTCATTGAATCATGTATAACTTAGTTATAGATTTATTTAGGTGTATGCTTGGATCATGTATAACTTAGATCTATAACTAAGTTATACATGATCCAATGAGTATGAAATTTTAACTACAATTCAAACATACAATAATTAGTCCATCATAAAAATTTCACCACAATTGAACCATAGAAACTGCAGCTATGAATTAATCACAGAAAAACATAGATCTAAAGCTACATAAAAAAATTATATTAAAGCATACCATATTATATATTTAATGTGTAGATCTACTCACGTGGAGTCCAATAAAATTGTATTTTCTATTTTATGTTTTTTTGTGATTTATTATAAATTTTTAAAGATTTAGTCGAAATAAATAAATAAGAAAAAGACAAAAGCGTTTATAATCGGCCAGAGAGATAAAACGAATGGTTTTAAAAGTTCAGGGAGGTGGTTTACCTGGTTTTAGAGTTCAGGAAGAAAAATAAACTTTCGTAAAAATTGAGGAGGCAATGTTGATTTTTTTTTTCGCATAATTCGCCTTCTAAAAGGCAGCCCAATAAGCTTTTCCACTCGAAAGCCCTTCTAGCCCGAAAGCACTCGGCCCATGAGGACTAGAAAGCCTATGCAATTCTCCTATTCCCCCACGCGGCCACTCCATTCCGACGCCCCGGTTCCCCGCTGGCCTCAGTCGTGCCGCCAAAATTTTCGCTGCCTCGTCTGTCGCCTCGATCGGGCAGAAGGGGATCGTGGCGGCGGCCGGCGGGAGCTCGGAGAGGCGCGGCAGAATATCCGATTCGACGATTCCCAGGCTTGCGCTAACCCGCCGGTGCCATCTGACGAATTCCCCTCTCGACCATCACAACAGGTGCCAAAATTTCATCCAATTCGTCATTCCCTTGTTGGGCTGGTTCACGTGATTCCTCGCAGTCTCTGGGTTCCTGCTCTCGATGTACGGTACACGGAGAGAATGGATAGCTGTTGTTTGCGAGTCGATCGACGAACGAACTCTACCTTACCAGGGTTAGTTGTTGTAGGGGTCGCAAATCGATCGAGGGCAGGAGAAGAGGGTTGTTCGACTTTCTAATTGTTGAACAGGCTGAGAAGGTGGCAAGAGTGCTGTGCATGGTTCAGTAATCTAATAACTTGAACTTTTTGCATATAATTGTACCATTTGTCGGCCACAAGTTATTCAGTTGAAAATGGTTCTGTTTTATTTGCCACCGGACTGTGCATTTGATGCATCTACTAGAACTGATATGCTGTAATGTTCTTCAGAGATCAGTATAGGAGTGTTTCATAGTGTTTTGGTGTAGCAGTGCTTCAGAGTTCAGTTCAGAACTGACATTTGACCCACAAGCTAGCATAGTTCAGTATTTATCAAAAAAAAGCTAGCATAGTTCAGTAGACTAATAATTTGAACTTTATTTGCCATTTCGTACTCTCTCTTTTATTACTGAAACATTTGGGTTTGAGAGAGATTCCTTACAACACAGCACAGTTGCATGTAGCAGTTTTGTTAGTGTCCTAATTTGCTTGCATATACACAGTACTGTTGCCATCTCGTACTCTTGTACAGCTACCGCAGCTAACGTGGCGAATGCTGGGTCGACCCATTGGTCACCAGAGTAATTGTCTCCATTAGGTTGGGTTGACCCAAAAACCAAACTAAATTTATTGGGTACTCTAGGTCAAGCTATGGGCCGATTAATTGTGACCCATCTGCATCGCTAGTATGCATGCTCTCTCCCACTTAGTACTTATTTGGCTCCACTTCAACCAACCTAAATCCACATGTATTAGAGTGGTTTAGGATAGGCAATTAACTAATTTTCCACCCCTAATACATGTGGATTAGGGGATTATAGTGCAGCTAAATAAGGCTTTAAATGGAAAGTGTGCACTGATGTGGTCACCCCTTGCAAAGGAAACCACATCATCTTTTGTCAATGCCTCAATGGCACGGATCACTCGTGTCGGTTTTGGGTACATCCAAGGCGATTAACATGTAGACAGGCACCACAGTTAGGACTGCACGCACAACCGTCCTGCAGTTGTCATCATTGCCTCCTTCCGACCAGGCAGCATGCCCAAAATAGAGTTTAGATGATGAAATTAGAGCATGGGTTTTGGTTGCTATGTCCTTCCTTTGCAGGCCTGCAACTTTTATTTAACATGTACACACGTAAGTTTTTTTTTTTGACGAAAAACAGGAGGGGCGTGTGCCCCTACTGCAATTTATTTATAAAAAGAAACTTAAGGAAAGTTTCATGAAAGGCAAGTACCTTCCTGATGCATTCAATATATAATATACGAGGTTTGCATTCTCATAAGCTCTACCATATATCGCATCAAACATAAACAGGATATATGTTCGAACTGTAGGCCCTGTTCGTTTGGAGGAATTTATGTGAGAGTGAACAGTGTTTTTCATCTGGGAACAGTGTTTTTCAGCTGGTTTTATGACCAGCCGAACGGCACCAACCTATCCTTTTCCCTAGAAAGAAATGTTGATGAAGCACGTTTACCGAGTAAAAGGGTGCATCATTTTCACTTTTTTGTTTCTCTTTTGACAAGTAGGGACCATTTGATTATCCTAGATCATGAAAAGAGGTTCCAATCTTGTGCCGAAAGAGCAAGTGGTAGATCCTAGGTTTATTGTAGCATGTCCTCAAATGTACAATATGTGGTTCAGGTATGAAATCAATTACTCTGATTGAGAATGCACGACAGTAACTTTGGATTCCTTTTTACTGGCATAGATAACTTAATTGGCTCAGATGCATCTTTGACCAAAAGTCCCAACAGCTCTTCCACCAGTTAGTATTTTGGTCCATGAGAAACTAGACATGGCTAACATGGTTTTGGATAGAGTAGCGAACTTATTATAGCTCACAAATAAGAAAACTAAATCAACCATATATTGAGTAATATAAGAAAACTTTAAATCATTTTTTTTTTGTAACATGAATATGTCAGTGTTATGCTTTAGAGAGGCCTTTTGGGTATAGTTCTCTGTTATGCATATTATTCTTTTGTTCAGCTTGGTGCTATATAACTATGCTACTGGCCTTCTTCTGCAGCAGGATGGAATATGTGTATTGAATCAACAGTGTTACACTCATTTATCAACAAACAAAACAAAAGGTTTCCTTTCTAACTATGTGCATCTCATCAACCTTTTTTGCACAATGTAGGAATGCAATGATTACGGCAAGAGACCTTCAGTTGATGTCAGTTCCAGTTCATTCATATTCTGAATGGATCCAACTCGTGAAACTTGTGACAGCTGCAACAGCATGGTGCATTCTTCCTGGCTGTTTCATATGCTGCATCATCTTTCATCTTACCGTGTTTTTTCATTTCATTATTTTTTTTATACGACATGATAGTACAGTCATAACATTCTTTTCATTCCTGTCATGAGAGGTAATTGCATTTTCTAATGCACCAAACTTGCTGCTGGCATTCAGATATAATAGAAAGAAATACAGGATTGAATTATTGAGGATGCAGCCATACAGAAGAGGATAGCCAATGAGGTTAGTATGTTACTATGATTATTCCTTTATCCCCTTCCTTTAGACAACATAATCAGAGCCATCTCGACGTCTTCTCTTGTAATAGAACAACCAACAAGTTAACAAAGTAGCTGCCCTATGACAAATCATTAAATAATTATGACCTCGATCTATAGGTGCAATAGAGTATGTTGGGGGGAGGAGGCCGCTAGATCAAACACTTTCGTGCTAGCTTATGAAAAGCTAAGCAACATCACACTCGATCTTAGTGACTGTCCCTGTCAAGCAATAAACAATGAGCCCTTCTCCGATTTCTTGAGTACTTTGACATTACAGGGTTAGTTGTCTAGTTCTTGTCTCAGGCCCAGGCTTGTTAGAATTAGACTCAGCTGTATTGACGGCATGTGCTATCAAGTTGTGAATGTTTGACGTTTTGCAAGGCGCCCCATTCTAGCAGAAACCTAGTTGGGCAGGGATATTCTCACCACTTTACAGCCATGGTCATGGTTTTTATATGAAATTTGTGTAGCCCATGTGTTCTTTTTTGGTGTGCGTGTAGAGCTTATCTTGTTGCACATTCTTGTCTAAGGGTGGTTCTCGTTATAAGTTTCAGGGCCCTTGATTCGTTACAGGACATACTCGTGTTCGCAAAAATCATGTCTGCTTGCCTATCTTTTCCTAATTAATTTTATTTTAACAAATAAATGTTGTTAACATTAATTATTAATTATTACAATATTCTTATTTTCGCATGCATCCACTGAAGTCGGTTGCAGTAAGCAAGCAATCGCTGCCTAACAGTCTAGTTATATATCTAGTCACTACAAGCAACATGCATTAGCTCTTAATTTTCGCAACCTACTAACCTCAGTTAGACAGCAGCTGTTTCCTTTATAGTTTATCCTATAATAAAATGGTCCTCTTTGTGAGTTTGGCTGTAATGAGGGAAATGAAAACAAAGCCATTTATCATAGATATCATATAGCTGAGAAATTGCAGGAGAACAAGGAAGCTTGATGTGCTATCAAATGAAATAAGGGTCTGCTAAGCAAATCAACTTTATATTCTAAAAATATTTTTGTTGGTGATGACATTTTGATTTCGCTTGGGGTTAGATGACCATACTTGTTTCACAAGGCCCTTCTGCAAAACTCCTGTAACACAAAAATGGTATGCTTGCTATCTGCAGTACCACCGTTTACTTGCTGACTCTACTGAAGAAGACCATCGTATATAGTTGTAGCGTCCACTTCGAAATTCTCTGCATGTCACCACTGATGTATATATCATCACTGTGCTCATATTAAAATGTTTTTTTCCACATAAGGGTTTCTTGTCCATATCTTTAGGAGATCTCTTATATCCTATCTGTTCTTCTATTCTAACCTGTGACAGTGGGTGTGCTAGCCACACGGGTCTATTCTAAGTTGTGACAGCGCTAGTGTTCTATCGATCACAGGTTGATCTAATGATATCACCGAGTCACTGTTAACAAGCATATATACCTCCTTTTGAGTTCCATGGAACACAGTTTCTCCACATCTATTGCTGTTGTTTCCATTAAAGAGAATAGGTTTATAATGAGAGCCTGGCAACGGAGCTAATAAACAACTGTAATAGGACCATAGCAATTCGAAGAAATATCAAATTGTTGGCTGGCGTGGATTGACTCATCCCATGAATTCAGCGTGGACAAATTTCCTCACTGACCAACTGGTAGTGACAGATGAGATGACCTTTGCCCCATCAAGTCATCATTATAAACATGCCTATAACTCACCTACGCAGAGGTTAGGTAACCGAAGCAACATTGACTTCTCATTATATATATATAAAGTTCCTTTATGGTTTGAACTGTGAAATTACCGCCTTGACTGTTCTCAAGCATGCACTATTTTATTGTTTCTTTCTAACTATTTGTTGACTTGTTTGTCATTGATGCTTCCTAAGCATCATACTTCATACACCCATATAGACTTGGAGTGTTTCTTGCTTGAACATATGAACTTTTAGTAAAATAAAGCTACATACACTAACCCTAGTACTCCATCCATGTGTTTATTTGAATTACTAGAATACCAGTTTTCTGATAAGATGATCCGTCTCTCTGAACATGCCTTTAGCAATGTGATTCACATAGAGCAAGCATAAACTAATTAACTTGGTATCAGTTAACATTACATTATCATTATCGTAAATGAAATATATTTCTATGGGGCCTAAAGCCTTTCTTGCTTTAGGAGCTACTCCTGTGCTTTTGTAGCTTTATTACAGGCCATAAGGAGAAGTAATATATCAGCCTTTCTTGCTTTAGGAGCCTGAACTGTTCACGCTCTCGCATATTCCTCCAAATTCCTCTGAACGAACGGGGCCATAAGGAGAAGTAATATGCACACATTAATTAATTAAGCTGTTGGCTCTAGAACAATGTATGGTACCAGTGATTGACAAGTCTGCTCTGTTTGTTGAGCTGACATTTTCCTTGGTCGTAGGAAAAATGCATATATAATATAAATGTACAGTTTAGGTAGTACCTGAAGGTAGAGAGAGACAAAATTGTTCCAATGATGGCTAATCATTAAGGCAGAAAGTCAAGCCATGGATATATTTTTTTTCTTGGGAATAGCTTAAGCAGCATGTGTACTAAATTGGACAGTGACAAGTGAGGTACGCCTTTGGAGTATGAACTCTGGAAGTGCAACGAAGTATATGGAATCAAACAAGTGAAGTGGAAGCAACCTTTTGATCATTTCTTATGGCGGCATAGAAACGAAATGACCATTTCTTCATTTCACATTCCAACTTCAAATATAATTTGTCAACACAAAGTACTGACACTACGTGAGCAGATTTATAGCAATGAAATATCTCCATTTCATATGCCATCAAATTAATCTGTGGCACTCAGTTGGAAAAATTCATAACTGTCAAAATGCCTAGAGATTTACTATAGAATTAGATAGAGAATTATGAAAAAAAATCTAACTGATACAAGGATTCGATTTCAATCAGCTTAACCTTATTTCTCATTTTGAAAAAAAAGAATAGAAGGTTTCAGTTTGTGTACATGCCCAATTAATTTCTTAACTCCTGCTGTGTAAACTCCCTTATTTTGAGCAGCAAGTTCTTTGGTGCTCCTGTGCAATATATCAGGTGGGGAAGTCTTTTATTTCTCCTCCGTTGCCAGTTTTTTTTTAACTCCTTTTTATCACATGAAGTGCAGATCATGCCTTCTGTACCAAAATTAGGCAAACCTTGTAGATTCTGAAAATAAACTGTGTCTAGGTAGTTAGGGACAGGCAGATTCAGCGTTCAGGGTCAGCACTCGGTACAATACTGTATTCATTCACATCAGATAAATTAACAGAACAATGCGGTTCGTACAAGCCAAAATTGCAAATTGCCCTATTCGCTTGGCTTATAAGCCGTACTTTTTCAGCCAACGAACAGTATTTTTCTCTCACAATAAATCAGCCAACGGTACTTTTAGCCATGGCTTATCAGCCAAGCAAACAGGGCGAATGTTTCTTAAAGCAGTAGGCTGAGTAGATGAAATTTCCATTTCAAGAAACTCGTAGAAAGACACCTACCTCGAAACCAGGCATCTCTCATCTATGAATGGTGAGAAACCTTATTTTGCTTTTAACTCAAAGAAACTCTCATCACGTTTCACCATTCCCAATGAATTCTAGTACAAATTTACACCACAATCATGCATGTACATGAAAACATAAACAAGTGGCTACTTCATCCCAAGGTTTCCCGGCTCATCAACAACAAGGCAGTACTGTTGCATCCCTTGGGAGCTCGAAGCTGCCACAGTGTTATTAGGGCAAATCAATGGGCTCACCTCACTCCAACTCATGCTCTGATCAGTACCCATGCCGAAGAAGCTTTCCAGGCCATCCAGCTTAACCTGGTTGAAGTGGAAGCCCTGGTCCAGCTCCAGCGCCGGCAGCATGCCAGAACCCTGCACACCGCCTTCATCAAGCGAGGTGCCGGCGTCCACCGCCGGGCATGACGACGGCGGCGGCATGAGGCCTGGACTTCCCTCGTACATTGGAGGAACACACTGAGGAACCGACAGTGCTGTGAAAGGGCCTGCTCCTCCTAGCTTATACAGAAGCTTCTGAATTGACTCATCTGCCTCATCCCCTGGGCGATGGCCTTCCATTATGGAACCTGGTATTGGTTGCAGCGGCACGGCCGCCATGGCTTGGTGGTGCCAGTTGTAGCTGGCCACTGCCATGCTACTGCTCCCGGCTGCATCCCTGGCAGTTGCTGCTTCTTGCTTCATCATCCCATCGTTTGCCGCTGCCGCCTGCTGGCGCATGAACTGATGCTGCCGCTGATCCTTGCGGGACTGCTTGCCGAAGAGCTTCTTCTTGAGCCTCGTGTTCCAGTAGTTCTTTATGTCATTGTCCGTCCTCCCCGGCAGCTGCGCTGCTATTATCGACCACCTACGCGCAGCAGGCAGCATGACTGGTCCGTTCAGGTCATAGTTAGACTCTCAGCACACACTCATGTGCGTGCGTGCCTAACAGTTAGTTTGCAGCTAATTCTACAGTGTGTGGATTTGATCGGAGAAAACACTAGGACGAGACCTACTGAACTTTACCTGCTGCCTATGCTGATGTAGAGGCTAAGGATTATCCTGTCCTCCTCCTCCGAGAAGCCGCCGTGCTTGATGTTTGGCCGGAGGTAGTTTAGCCACCGGAGACGGCAGCTCTTGCCGCACCTCTTCAGACCTGCGCAGCCCCAGATACATGATTAACCTCTACTGCTGCTGCTGCTATCACTGCATATCTACTGCATGGCGAATTGGCGATGGCCGTGAACACATACATACCTATCTTCTGCGGCAGGGCTATCCAGTTACCGCCGGTGCCGTTCTGCTCGATGTAGGACTTGAGCTTGGCGTCCTCCTCCGGTGACCACGGGCCCTTCTTCACGGTAGCCTTGTCGCAGCACGGAGCTCTGCCCATGGCGGACGTACGTCTTCCTTTCTCCCCTCTGACGACTCTGAGCTGCTCTAGCTGGGACTCTCTCTTGTGAGCGAGCGGTGGATCGAGCAAGTGCTGATTAGGGCCGCCTAAACTTGGTTAGTCATGATGACGGTCTGGGCGGTGTGTTTATGCCTCAAAAAGGGAGAGGTGTATTATTGGCATGGAAAAGGTGGCTGCTCTGATAGTAATAAAATACTGTTTGAGCGGTGGTGGTGGTGATCTGGGTTTCTGTCTTTCTAATTGTTGTTTCTTCTCTTGTATTAGAATCTCCATCAGCAGTCTCAGCCATCCTCTTCCTGAACCTGGTCTTTGTGCACCATAGACTGCTTGCAACTTCGTGTAGTTTGTTTATGTGATCTGATCTGATCTCTGCTTATAGATGACTAAACACGATATATATACCGGGATCTCATGCATAGAATATATTGCACCTGTTTAGTATTCTATTGCTTGAGCTGTACGTGTGCTAATCTTGTGCATATATACGTAGCCAGTGGCCAGTGACGTAAGAAAACACAACATCATGCTTATTTCCCTCAAACACGCGGTACTCCTGCATGCTCATCATTATATTAAGATAACCGCTAAATCATATGGGCGTGAAAACACACACAGGATGCCGCAAAGCAAAGGAAGAATAGAATAATAATAAAGCGAGATGCTACATACAGAAAAGGCGCAGCTAAGAAAGGGATACATACTGATTTCACACGGACTGAACACAGCACATAATTTGCATGCATTGTGGACTTGTGGAGATAAATGCAGCTATTTGCTGGATAGCAAAATACCCCTTTATTATTAGCTAAAATATGCTTTATACGATGCAGATTTCGAATATGGATCTTGTATACTCACTCTGTCCCAAAGAGTGTCATTCTCTCTCCTCGAGATGTCAAACACTTTCAACTTTGACCAAATATATATAAGAAAATATTAATATTTATGGTACATAATTAGTATCATTAAATAAATCGTTAAATATATTTTTATAATAAACTTATTAGAGATATAAATATTGTTAATATTTTCTATAAACTTAGTCAAACTTAAGAAAGATTGACCGAATTGCACACTTAACCCTATAGCGAATCGTATTTTTTAAGGACGGAGGAGTATATATATATCTAGAAAAAACAGAACGGCTTACAATTTAGAACGGATGAAGTATTTATTTGATGATATAACCTTCGGGTTGCATCTTCTGAACTCCTAAACCGTGTTGGACTCGGTCACATTCATACTTGCTCCTTGTAAAGCTGATGAACTATATTTATTGGACCGGAGGTGTTTGATGCCTAAGAACCTTTCCATGGATGCTGACCAATACTGTATAGCATTTTTTGAACTCTACTCTTGGGGAACATAAGTCAAAGAATTTGCTTGATTTTCAAATATTATGAATATACCCAGAATAAGCAAGCCATTATTGCCATTTGGCCCCGCAGTCGTTATCGATGACTCATGGAGTGGTGACGTAGCAGGCTTTGCTTTCATATCTTGGTTCTTTTTTGGGTCTTTTCTGGGCATTTTGATCCTTTATTTTTGCATTTTAGGCATGTTGTTCGTGATATACATTAAAAGGTAGTTTTTTTTTTCAGTAGGTAATTGTGAATTTGACGAGTGAAATTAATTTGAAAATCTCAAGGTTTCTCATCGTTTCTTTTCTCCCTTTCCCATCATGCTGCTTGTGCACGTCTCATGATTTCAGAATATGGTATTTCCTAATATATGTGTGCCCACTGTTGCAGTTTTTTTATTATACTGAAGCTCAAGGGTGTGTCATGAACACGTGTCTGGTGAAAAGGTGTACAGATTTGCAATCAAAGTAATTCAGGCACGAGAATGTGACACTGGATCAAAAGAGAGTAGAGGCCAGAAGCAATGACAAATAAAAAAAAGTATGTATATATTTGCCATCACTCGCATTCTCAAGAATCTTTGCGAAAGTAAGCTGTCATTTAGCCAGCGCTCCCTACTGTGCCGGTTTGCTTCGTCTTAAAAAAGCAAAAACTGTACTAGTCTGCTGGTGAAATTGGCTTGTCTGCAACAGGGATTTTTTTTTGAAAACTTTAACGGGGGATAAATCCCCACCTGATTTTATTGATTTATAGCGCTGTTTACAAGAGATTACAAGAGATTTGTACAGGAGGATTTTCGCTACAAATGGTGATGGTCTAAAATTACATTGGATCTGTGTTCACCGAAGAGTCAAAGAATTTGGACCACTCATCTATGACTCTTTTACTTTTCTTGGGCATCTTGCTCTCCAAAGGTTTGCCTCAGTTTTGCACGATAGAATTAATTGCCTGAGAGTGAGTTGCTCATCTCTGAAAACGAAGGCATTTCTTCTTTTCCATAACTGCCAGCAGCAGAGGGTGACAAACTTACTGTATTGGTCGTCCGGTATACCTCTGGTCTTCTAAATGATGTGCCAATTGTTGCTCTGAAGATTGGCGCTTGACTGTAAACCTATTGCTGATCAGAAATGGACAGCTATGGGACACTGGAAAATTACATGATCCGGTGTCTCATGATCCGCTCCGCAGATCGAGCAGGCTGGTGAGTCAACAATCTTCTTACGGTATAAGTTGGACGGGCACTGGATTTTTCCTTTGAGAAGTAGCCAAAAAAACAGCTGCACTCGTGGTGGAGCAGCGTTCTTCCAGATGAAGGAGGATGTTGCATCATTTTCCTGTCCTTTAGCCTTGAGCAATCGATAGATGGCAGATGTGTCCAGTTTATATTTAGTGCGGCTGAAGGCCGATAGCCGCGTGTCCGGCTGGTCTGATAACTGGGATTGCTGAAGAATAACATTCAATTGCTGGAGTTCATGCTGTGCTTGACTTGACAGGCGGTTCACAAAGCATCCCTGGAGGTTTGAGCTGATTGCTTGCTGCACAGTGCACATCTTCCTGATGCAATGGGAAAAGAGTCTTGGGAAGCGATCTTCTAGTGCTTCATCCCCCGTCCAGACATCAGTCCAGAAAAGAGTGGATCGCCCATCTCCCAGCTGAACTGTTGTCAGTGCTTGATATAACGGCAGTAGCGATTTGATGACTGAGGAGCTCCCAGTGGTGACCCAGGTTATCTCCTTGCATGTTGGCAATGTCTGCTCTTTCCCTGATCCAGTTTGCCCAGGCCGACAAGTCCGCACTGTGAAGGCGGTGGATGAGGTTCAGCAGCAGACAGATGTTATGCGTGCCAAAATCTTTGATCTCGAGCCCACCCAATTCCTTTGTGGTGCAGACGTTTGGCCAGGCGACAAGGCATTTAGCCGCTGAGAATTCCTTGTTTCCAGCCCTGAAGGAGCGTCTGCGTTTGTCAATTTGATTAATTGTCTCCGGGGGAATGGCCGTGGTGATAGAGCAGAGCAGTTCCCTAGCCGTCACTTTTTTTTTTAGACTTCCTAGCCGTCACAGATGCTTCAGCCTTCGAAAAAAGATGCTAGCTTTACACATTTAGTGGGCTACGGGAAAAGTAGCCCATATGTTTTAGTGGGCTGAGGTGAATGGGGCCGTGTGAGTGCGAAGCATGTGCAGATTTTTGGTCCACTATCGGGTGTGAGTGACCGGTTCCATACTGGCTACTGCTCTACTCGGCCTTTCCTGGTTATATAACCATTGCAAGGCCCAACTGCTACTGCATTCCAGTTTTTCTCTCTCTCTTGATAGAATCAACCGAGTTTTCCGTATTTCTAGCGTATAATAAGAGTAGCGATCGAGTTTCTGCTTACCTCTGCCTTTTTCTTGTGAGCAGGCAGAGTTTGGGCTTGCATATACCCATTCACTAAAGGCCTGTTTGGCAGGGAAGCATCCACAACCGGTCAATGATCGAAGTGAGGCGTATAGTAGCAGGATACTTGCACACTGTTTTGGAACGGCCATTGCACGTCAGGTAAGTTGGATTACCAACTTTGTTTCAAAAAAAAAAAGAGTTGGATTACCAACTGGTTGGTACGTACATGCAGTAGCTAGCTTAGCTTAGGTGTTCTTGCCATCTTAGGCCCCGGAAGTACTGCTCGCAAATAAGGAAGAAGACCACCAAGTGCGTAACTGCTACGGGATCGGACTTGCCGCCAATAATTGAGTTGAGTTGCAGCCATGCATGCTCATCAGGCGCGTGGGATTGATTCTGTCAGGCGGGCGCAGAGCGGAGCAACGAAAACGCAAGCAAGAAGCGAAATGATGGAACGACATGGAGGGATTCCTGATGATTCCATCAGAGATTTGACGAGACCAGCAGTGTGGTTGCTGGAGTGGGACTCGGGAGTCGGCGGGCCAGGCCAGCATCTGTTCTGCGGCCGACGATGACGAGCCGAGCCATGGCTTGGACGGGTGCATCCGTGCATGGGCGCCTTGCGCTAGCTAGCTGCACGCGGTCTGCGGCAGTGGCAGTGGCAGTGGCAGTGGCACGGCACCCATATGCCAGCTCGATCGAACCCCCGCGATTCGCGCCGAGCTCCGACCAGATTCAGGGCCGCAGTAGTCCGTCAGTACCCTACCCTGCCTCGTAGGTCCCGGCATGCATGCGTAGGAGTATGTTTGTTTTACCGTTACAATCCTTGGCTGGTTGCCTTCGTCTTTTTGCACTTGCACAGACCTTGCCCTAGTCTTATACTACAGTTAGCATTTTACTGCCTTTTTTTTGCATATATAATATCCTGGTGCCTGAACTTTTACTGTCTTAACACCTCCCCAAATGCTGCTGGGTAATTAACGGCAAATCTGCCATTAATCTCCTCGTTCGGAATCCATGAAATGGACATTTGAACTACTGTGGATTTGGTTTCCCTTTTTCCAGCTCCACGATCCTAAGGGCTTGTTTTAGGTTTAGATTCCAAAGAGGTGGCCTAACTAATTTTTAGTTTCCAACCCAACTAATAATAACCATTAGTTCGTTAGCCGGCAATTGTGGACTAATATGGACTATATAAAAGGTGCACATTAGTCTGTCCATTGCTTGTAGTAATCCATGTA